AACCTAATAAAATAAGGATAAAACATTATTTTTCTAACCCTTAGAAATCTTATCATTGGAAAGTATCAGACTTGTATCAACCATAGAAATCTGTGCATTATCTTGATAGTTCATCAGCTTTATCTCTTTGTTGGCCGGTACATCCACATTAGTCATAGAAATCTGAGCATTATCTTCATAGTTTGACTGCATTATCTCTTTGTTAGCAGGTTGGACATCCAACTTAGTTTTCGCGGTAAGAAATCCTGCACAAACAATGTAAAAGTTTCAATATTCTATATTATATGAAATTTCCAAACCCTATTGTGAAATGTCATATATATTTATCGATTGTTTATCCTAGCGAAACAGTGATGCTTATAAATGAATAGCTACCAAAAAACATAATAACAAAAGCAAAAACTAATTATTAGAGTTGTGATCAAACATGAGTGCAACACTATTAAAGCAAAATCAAATTATGCTCACACCCATAATATAAATATGGGGCAGAGCACGCTATTCAGCAACTTGCTTCAGAATTTAGTTTAAGAATTATCAAAAACAAGCCCACATCTCAGCACTTGAATTAAACAGTTGTATACCCTTTTCATTTTTTTATTTCTTTTTATTTGTGGGGAAAGAGGGTTCATAGATGATGACAAGTGATGAGCTTTAAAACCATCTTTAGAAGTAACACTAAGCCTCTGTTTGACAACCATTAAAATGATTTTTTTGGGGAAAATGAGTTTTAGAATAATGATTTTTTGGAGAATGTGTGATTAAAAAGTAGGAAAATGTTTTGAATTTACATGTAAAATATTTTATTGTGAGAATGTGTGGTTGAAAAAGAGTTTAAGAAAAGAAGAGTTGTTTTAATGGTTGTCAAACAGGTGCCAAATATTTCTCCAGGTAGAATAGAAAAATTGATTAATACTCGACGGTTTAACTTCAACGAGTGACATAAGTAAAGATCCCACATCCAGTTTAAACAGAAAAGCTTGGCAAACAGGGCAGAGGAAAAGGAGGCCACGGGTAAACACTACTGCAAGTCCCATAATCTCCCTCCATCACGCTAAGATAATGCACCTAAAAAATATGCATATTACGCCCTGGAAACAAATCCTTGCATGAAGTACAAATACTCAAGAGGTCATAGAGAAGTTCTTACTGACAAATGTTTATAAATGCTCAAACAAAGACCGTGGCATAAGTAACCTCTAGGCGTTTTGAGGCGTAAACCTCCACACAGACCAATAAAAGAATTCCAAAAAATATAAAACTACAAAAATATGCTCATGATAAACTATAAACCATCTTGAAAATCCACAATTAAACAATTTAACAAAATTAGAAGTCTAACTTGCCAACAAAAATAAGATAGATCAAATAGTAACCAGGTAAAAAAATTGCACTACTGACTATTAGAAGTAGAAAATCCTGTAAGTCTTCCATATAATCACTTGGGACAGAATTTATAACTTAGTTGTAGGAGGTTGGTACACTTGCTTTCTGATCACTTTTGCAATTGTTTTAAAGTTTTTAGGGTTGGGTTGTGTTAAAAATAGCCCATAAAACCTCTTAAAATGTTCTAGGCTATAAAAAATAAAACTCAAAACTGTGGCCAATAATAAAAGACCCCAAAACAAAAGACAAATGAGCGAGAGGCTTATACCTCGAGGCCTGTACCTAAGTAAGTCGAGGCACAAACCTAGCAAATGGCACTCGAGGCGTAAGCTACAAGCACACGACATAAGCCTTACAAGAGGTGAGCCCCGAAGGGTAAACATCGGGTGCTTTTTAAAATAATTAGCAAAACTACCCAACTTTCATGCTAAGATCTATTCAGTTTGTCACCAAGAGACAAACAATTCGGCTACTTGGTGAAAAGCTAATACCAATATCAATATTCGCCAGGACCATCGATGGTGCAGCATACTTAGGATCAAAATGATCTCCAACTTTCAACAAGATCATCAACATCCTGGGGTACTCATGATCAAAATGATCCCCCACCTTCACACTATAGTTGATCTGAGTTTTCACCATGATTACCAATTATGCAAGCTAATCAATACGAACTCCAACTTCAAACTAGGTTCGAACCAACAGCAAACCAAGGTACTTAAGATTAAAATATCTCCATCTTCATGCTATGGCTAATCCAGGTTTTCACCAAGATCATCTACAACCCAAATTACTCAGGATCAAAATGATCTACACCATCAATCCAAAGTCAATGCAGGATTTCAAAGGGATCATTAACGAGTCATGTTCAATTACTCTTTCAATGTATTTCCCCACTGGAAGGGCAACTGTTGGGCAGGCCCAACACCTTAATTGAGTTTGTTGTTGTAGAAAATCCATTGGAGAAAACTCGATAGGGTTTGAGGACAATCAATACGATAACATAAATATAATTGTATTTGTAAGCATCCATAATTAATGCTGTCCTAAAAGAACTTGATCCAAGCTCGACTATTGTAGGCCAGTCAAGCAAATTGATATTTGTCGCCTAATTAAGATGCCAAAGCAAGTCCATATCAACACAAAATAGGAGTGAAACATACTTCTTATGCAAGTATGCATGTACAGATTTACAAACTTCCACATACCCGAACCACCTACACCAGACCTACACACACTCCATAGAAACGTACAACAATCGACCCACTAAGTACAACACGACATATTTCACACGAGTTTAGTTTTGTAAATCATATAACATTAAACTAAACGGACAAAACTTACTAGCAGGTGGCATGGGTGGTGGCGGGATTACAAAATCCGGCGGAAGTTCAGGAACTGAAATCTGGAGAAATGGAGGTACAGCTACCGGAGGCGCTTCCGAAACTGGAACTGCAGCACTTTGCACAACCCCAGGAACTGTAGCAGCTATTGAAGGTTTCTCCCATGGCGGAATCGGAACAACGGCTCGAACATCAGCCTCAGGATGAGCGGTAAAGCTAGAAGAGGAGGGCTGCAGATACTCGTGTTGGCCAGACTGAGAGGGTTGGTCAATAAAGTGGTGGTAAGCAATTTGTGCCACCAGATTTTGAGCCTCCTTGGAAGACTTGCACTGATTTGGAGTCTTGAAAGGTTGCCCATTAACGTTCACAACGCCTTTGAATTGAGGGATATGGTGTGGGCCATCTCTTACCGTTGTATACTCCGGCAAACTCCAACCCCTCTTCTGGCACAATTCTTGCAGTTTGCATTTGTACATTTTCACTCAAATGGGGAAACAAGAATTGAATTGAAGAATTTAGGTGACTCCTAGGTTAGGACATAGCCATAATCAAGTACAGTAAACTGACGTTTGAAGAATCTAATCTCGAATTTTAAATCTAGAGCCGTGCTTCTGGGCCAGGCTCAAAGCCAGGCCCAGAAGCAAGACACTTTCTAACCTCTGACAAATAATATTTATAAAAAATATATTAAGAGTATGTTTGTTTCCAATTAAAATTCAATTAAATTTAATCTCTGACGAACAAGTCCTAAAATTTAATTTCTGACGAACACGCCCTAAGTATTAAAATAAGAATTTTAACAGATTTTAATGAAATTTGTGATTAAAAAGTTGTGAATCTCATTAAATATGATATTAAAATAGATTATTGAATTTGATTTTGACAAAAATTTAGATTATATTTTTTGATAAATAAAAGATAAGAAAACAATGCATGTTTATTAAAAAAAAAAAGTAAAATAAAGAGTCAAAATAGAGAGTAACATTATGTTGGAAGTGTATAAAATTTTTTACTACACTCTTTATAATAGAGTCAGTTGGAAATACTCTCAGGACCTGTTTGATATAAATTTTCTGATAAAAGATTTTGTAAAAGATTATTTTTTTTTGGAGATTGTACGATAAAAAAGTCATGAGTCCGTTTGCAAAATTATTTTATTGAAAAAAATACTTTGTTAAAAGTGAGTCTGAAAAAAATACTTTGTTAAAAATAATCTTTACCAAACGAAAACTTAATAATCACATGTTTTCTGATCAAATTCTATAAATTATATGCTGAAGGCAAAAATAGTAAAATTTTCAGATACATATTTTTATCGAGATTGTTGTGATCAACATTGATTGATTAGAATATTGCACAATGATGGACAATATACAAAAGTGTCCTCACCTAAAATTTAATGAATTTTTAAAAGATTATCAATTTTTAATGAATTTTGTGAATTTGAAATCCATTAGAATCTCATTAAAAATGATGAAATTTTTAAAAGAGTTTATTGTGTATGTTTTTAAGCTTAAAATTCATCCATCTTGAAATCATTTTGTTAATTAAATTTTTATAAATTCACAAGTTATTGAAGGTGTCTAAATTTTAAAAGATTTTATTGAAATTTATTAGCGCTCTCTCTTGATTTATGGTCTATTATTGAAAGAAATCGTGGCCCACGAAGATCCAGGTCCAGTAATGTCCAAGTTTTCAGAATAGGCGGCCCAAAATCAGATCAACTCATATTTGGCAAAGTTTACAAGCGCTTGTAAGAGGATTAAGCTGTATTTTCTATCCATGCATCCATTGCCACACAACTTTTTACCTACTTATTATTCACACAACTTATAGGATCCATAAATTATAACCTATTTGTTTGCCACTTTTTACGAAATGTTACCGTTTACGAGCCCCACTTAGCCCCCATTTTTTGAACTTTCACTTTGCAACGACTATATTTTTTCAAATAATGAGCAAAAATGGCGCCCAAATGCCCTCTTATAAATGCTTAAAAACACTACTAAACAAGCACAATCTGAAGAATTTCTTCAACTTTCATTCATTGAGGTACATTAATCAGAGCTAGGAGCATATCAAACAAATTGATGGCAATGAACACCAAAAAACGCGGAAAAAAAAAGGGAGAGAGACGGAGCCATTGGCTAGACTATACCTACTCAACTTTATCATGAACCACAATTATTGAAACATTAGAAATATTTCCTTGTAATATAAGAAAACAATAAATGGGGCAAGATTTCAAACTGCTGCTGAGCCATAAACGAGTCATTTGGCACTGGCAAGCTCAGTGCGGAGGAGCTTGGCAGCAGCCACCATGTTTTGGAGTGCTGGCTTCACTTCAGCGTACTTGCGAGTCTTAAGACCACAGTCGGGGTTGACCCACAGGATGTTGGTTTCGAGCACAGCAAGCATCTTGTTAATTCTATCGGCAATTTCTTCAGTTGATGGAATTCTTGGGGAGTGGATATCGTATACACCAGGTCCGATTCCAGCTCCGTACTTCACTCCCTCACGGAAGACTGAAAGGAGCTTCTCATCAGAACGAGAGTTCTCGATGGTGATGACATCAGCATCCATGTTGATGATAGAGTGGATGATATCATTAAAGTTTGAGTAGCACATGTGGGTGTGGATCTGTTGGTCACAAAAGATGATCTCATTAATAACCTAATTAAAGAAACAAAAAGTTATAGGTAATGCATGAGAAAGGACACAAGGAAATCACCTGGGTGGTGTCGTGTACTCCAACGTTGGTAATTCTGAAAGAGTGAACCGCCCAGTCCAAGTAGAAAGCATGCTCGGCCTTCCTAAGAGGCAACCCCTCTCTCAATGCGGCCTCATCAATTTGAATAACATTAATTCCTGCCTTCTCAAGATCCTCCACTTCGTCCTTTATGGCCAAAGCAATCTGATAGCAAGTTTCGAATCTGCAAACCAAGAAAATATCAAGTTGACTTTCTTCTGAATCATGAGAAAAACAGACCAAGGTGTTCCATCCAATTTCTCCCGTAAAAGAACTAAGGGTGATAGACAGAAAGGTATCGAGTAGTTCCTATATACCTTGGTTGGTCATTTCGGACAAAAGACCAGTTGAGAATGGTAACAGGGCCAGTAAGCATTCCCTTCATTGGGCGCTTGGTCATGCTCTGGGCAGCAGTGGACCAGAAGACAGTCATTGGGTTGGGACGACTCACATCACCATAGATGATTGGTGGCTTCACACAGCGAGATCCATAAGATTGCACCCACCCATTAGCAGTGAAGGCAAAACCAGACAACTGCTCTCCAAAGTACTCAACCATGTCGTTCCTCTAAAATGTAGAAATCCAAAATGGTAAAGATATTAGGTTGTATATGATGTTGAGATTGGCTATTAAAGGATAAATAAAGTAACCATTATAGAATTGACAAACAGTAAGAGATTTGTGTTTATTAGTTTTGTGGACACTTTCGCTTACCTCTGGCTCTCCATGAACCAGAACATCAATGTCAAGCTCTTCCTGAAGCTTGACAACTTTGCTGATTTCTTCTTTGATGGCCTTAACATACTCCTCTTCGGAGATCCTGAAAGATAGAATCATATTTTTAGAAACGATGACATAAAAGAACATATCAACTCCACAGAGAAACACAGGTAGAAACCACTCACTTCTTGGCCTTGTATTCACGGCGAACTCTTCTGAGTTCTATGGTCTGAGGGAATGAACCAATAGTGGTGGTTGGCAGAATTGGAAGGTTAAGCTTCTTTTGCTGAGCATCAAGTCTAGCACTAACATTGGTAGCACGACGGTGGTCAGAACCCTTCAAAGCTGCAGCCTGGCAACCACAAGTAGTATTGGTCAGTAAGACAGCGCATTTCGGCAGCAGAAATACGAAACTTTAAAGAAGAAACCATGCAGATTAATCACTTACAGCCTTTTGAACAGCTTCATTGGTGACCCTAGGAGAGTTTTTGCGAGATGCCTGAGCAGCAGCATTGGCAGAGAAGAATGCCTGAAAGGAAAAGAGCAACAGTCAAGTGCAGTCATTTGCCTCCCTGCTGCAAATTTAATATAGACTGAAAAGAGATGTATACCTCATCCTTCTGACCAGCCAGTGCCTTTGCCAAAGCATTTACTTCAACAACTTTTTGGGCGGCAAATGCAAGCCATGATTTGATTTCTGTGTCCAGCTTAGTCTCATTAACTAGATCAACAGCAGTGTGGAGAAGCGAGCAGGAGGTGGAGACAACAAGCTTGCCTGGATCAAAAAACAGAGGAAAAATGATTCTCTGTAGAAGCTAAATTCTGAACTAGTGACACAACTTTGGGCTACGTACCATTTCCCACAATTCCTTCCAGAGATTTCAGGGTAACGAGAGATGCATCTAGATCATTAGCCCAAATGTTCCTTCCATCAACCACTCCGGCAAACAGGTACTTTCCAGAAGGGAGTCCACCCTTTATTAAGTCAAGAGTCTTGGTTCCACGAATCAAGTCAAAACCAAAGGCAGTGACTCCCTTCAGGGCAGTAAGGGTTTTGAAAGCATCAGCAGGGACATCAGCAAAGTAGGTTTCAACCAGGACATTAAGGCCAGAAAGGGATGATTCAAGTTCAGCATAGGCCTTAGTGAAAGCTTCCAGTTGGTGAGACTCGAGATCCATCACTAGGGTGGGCTCGTCAAACTGAATCCATGAGGCACCAGCTGCCTTCAACTCAGCAATAACTTCCCTATATGCATATCATACATTTTAATGTCTAACTCCGGAAAGTAAAATGAATAACACCATTAATAAAACTGGAAAAGATGAGCATTTCTTACTTGTAGATAGGAAGGATTTTGTCAAGAAGAGAAAGAAGAGGGAAAGTTTTCTCCACGCCCTTGGCAGGTTTAGAGAGTAGCAAGTAAGTGACAGGGCCAATAAGTACTGGAACTGTATTTACACCAAGCTGCATACAGGAAGTGTCAAATTGAAAGCTCCAAT